CAGTGGCCTCCTGTCATTCCTGGCCTCTCCCTCCAGTGCGGCTCTCCTCAGATCCTGACAGGTCTGTGCTCCAGGGGAACATTACTAATGAGGTTCCTTTGTCCACCCCTTCATTTTGCTTCCCTCCTGACCACTCCAGGCCATCTTTCTGTGTAAATTGTGCCCATCTCTCTCTCCTAGAACGTAATACATAAGGACAAGGGCTTCTCCTGGAGAATCTTCAGGACCCAGAGTGATACCCAGTTCAGGCAAGCGTATTTTCTGCTGTGTTCATTCAGTGACAGGGGTGGGGGTGGGGTGGAGGTGTGGGCAGGAGCCAGGCCAGCAGGCCTTGTCAGTCTTGCTCCAGCTCTGGAGGAGGGTTGACGCCTCCGCCTCCACGTGTTTGGAAAAGCTCACCTGGCTGGGCGGGTGTGGGGAGGTGAAGACCGGACATTCTACTACAGTGGTTACTCTGGCCTTAATGGACTGGCCGGTGGAGAAGTCTAAAGCTTTGTTTTCTGGAAAGTTTTCTCCCTCTTAGGAGGAGGGTTGGGAGGGGCTCCTGGACCAAGGAGATCCCTACCTTTGTGCAACACTCGGTTCCCCATGGGCTGTAATTAAGGGTAATCAGATCTGAGCTCTGAGTCAAGTCCTGCAACAAAGCCTACCCAGGTCGCAGGGTGCTGCCTCTCTCCGAGCATCTTCTGCAGGAACTGGCCCCACCATGCAGGGGCCTGCCCTTCTGCATGCCTCAGAGAGCTTCTGAACACGGAAGTCCCTCCCTCCACCCCTTCTCCTCTCTCTAACCTGGACTCATTTCAGTAGCAATCGAGACCAAGAAAGGGCATGGCCCTTCTCCATGGCCATGATGGAAGGAGAGGAGACACTCAGGCCTGGGGAGGACAGTGCCTGTGTGGATCACAGGTCACCCATAGGTGCTCTTGAAATGGAGCCCCCAGGGGCCACCAGCATCAGCCCTGGAGTTCAGGGTCCTAAGCTGCCCCTCGCTCCCACTCAGCACTCCAAACAAGGGCCAGAGTAAGCACGCAGCACTCCCTCGCCCTGCTGGGTCCCTCACATTCCCTTTGCCTTCTGCACATTCCTTGAGGGTTCTAGTAGCTGCTGTAGGAACAGTAAGACCATTTAGACTAACCTGGCAAGTCAAGACAAGGTAGAAACACCTTTCAAGGGCCCCTCCATTTGGCACAGCTGGGACTTTCTTTGCTGAGAGTAATAAAATTAATTTCCACTTCAGCCAACACTCATCTATTAACTCAGCTAAGAGACAAGGGAATCATAGTTATCGAGGAAGAGTGTTGCACACCTGGGCACTCAAGGGTTACAATTCTTTCCCCTTTCTCACAGGCTGTAAGGCGGTGCTCCTGAGAGTAATGCCCACCCAGGACCTGCCTGGTACCCCTGCCATGCATGCACCACCTCACAAAGCCTGCCCGGGGCAGAGGCAACTGGGACTATGATGCCACTAGCCACAGCTAACAGGCAACCTAGGTTAGTATGTGTGGAGGTACTGTAGACAAAAGAGACTCCCAGGACACAGCTCCCAGACAGAATCTGTCCTTAATGTGTGGACCCCAGCCCAGCAGCTCACCCATGCACTCTCTTTGCTCTTGACCACGTTTCTCTTTCCCTAGTTCCTGCTCATGGGAGACTAAAGACAGTGAACTGGAATCATTGGCCAGTGGGTTCACTGATGTGAGGAGGAAAATGCCTTTTGGAGGGAGGAAGAAGAAGAGTATGGAGCAGAAAGGTGCGAGTGGCTGAGCTCCTTCTGCTGGTTGTCCAGTCTTAGCTGGACCGGCACTGGGGAAAGAGCCCTAGCACCTGAGCGTGGACTAAGAAGGACATGGACCCCAGCTTTCCCTAGCACCTGAGCATGGACTAAGAAGGACGTGGACATGGACCCCAGCTTTCCCTAGCACCTGAACAGGGACTAAGAAGGACGTGGATGTGGACCCCAGCTTTCCCTAGCACCTGAGCGTGGACTAAGAAGGACGTGGATGTGGACCCCAGCTTTCCCTAGCACCTGAACAGGGACTAAGAAGGTCGTGGACATGGACCCAGTTTTCTCTGTGATGACCATGCTTTGCAAATAGTCCTGTGCATGTGTGGACCCAAACAACAATGGGTCAAAAACATTCATAAAAGGTAAAAAACCCTCTGTGCCCAAAAGACCAGAGAGATGTCTTAGTGGTTAAGAACCCTGACTGCTCTTCTGGAAGACCTGAGTTCAGTCCCCAACACCTACATCAGGAGGCTCACAACTACTTGTAACTCCAGTTTCAGGGGACCGAAAATCCTCTTCTGATTTCCAAAGGTATCTGCATGTGTATGAATGAGCATTCTCTCTCTCTCTCTCTCTCTCTCTCTCTCTCTCTCTCTCTCTCTCTCTCACACACACACACACACACACACAGAGGAATATTTTTAAAAAATTAAAAAAAATTAACATGATGAAACTATACAGAGAATTTGAAGAAAATCACAGGAGAGAAAGAGAGAATATTCATTGAAGAGGAGCCATTGGTGCTCAGTAAACACAATCCCTGGACTGGTATGCAGATATATGCAGATTCAAACAAAGCCGCAATGCCACACACATTTTTGGGTGAAAGTCTTTACATTCGCCAGTATGGAGTTTTTGAGAGTTTTCATGCATAGATGTGGGGATTTAGCTGGCACTTTGTAGGGCAATTTGGCAGGTGCCTTGATGACATTTGCTGGGGGTATTTGGGAGTGAAGAGCTAGGCCCCCCTCAGTAGCCCTCAGTAGGACCCTCAACAAGTAAACTTCCCTGCAGAAGGCACTGTGCAGCAGTGGCAGGTGGAGCCAGAGGCCCTTGGACAGCACGCTGCTCATGACAAAGTCAGATGCAGAGACTGAGTCTGGAAACAGCTTCTGAGAGACAACAGCTAACAATCACATCAACAGGGAAAGGAACACAAAAATCCAAACAGGCTACACTTTCAAGTGTCAAAATATGTGATAAAAATTAATTTACGGGGCTGGAGAGATGGCTCGGAGGTTAAGAGCACTGGCTGCTCTTCCAGAGGTCCTGAGTTCAGTTCTTATGAAGTACATGGAGGCTCACAACCATCTGTAATGAGATCTGGTACCTCTTCTGTCATGCAGGCAGAATACTGTGTACATATAAATAAATAAGTCTTTAAAAAATTAATTTACACCTTCCAATCCCAGAGTGGAGACCACCATGGCTACGCTGATCTGAACTCAGTGGGGCAAGAGCAGGCGGTTGAGAGCAGGTTTTAGCGCCTAAAGGGACTTCTCTGGGTTGTGAGCAGAGCAGACTTGGTGAAGGTTCATCCAGCCAGGCTTGTCCTCCAACTTCTGTAATCTTGTGAGCTGGGGAAGGAAGACCGTATGAAATCCTCCACTTCATGTCTTCCGGGAGGGCCACACAGGGCTCTGCCTGGCAACAAACGACCCGGCAAACAACCTCTGAAGGTCTGGTTTTAGTGAGTAGATGTTTTAGGAGGTTGCGAATCTGTGTGCTGTGGAGGTGAGAAGAAAACCTGGAGGAGTCACTTCTGCCCGTGAGTTCAGGGCACTGAACTCAGGTCACCAGGCTTCACTTCTCCCTGTGGGTTTGGGGCAGTGGACTCGGGTCATCAGGTTTGGCAAATCTGCTGAGCCATCTCTCTGGCTCTCTTGCCACATTTAAAACAAATATTTTATCCATCTGCAAATGAAATGCCTGAAGGATGACACAGAGCGACTATAATATCCTAAAGTCCAACGGGAATGACACCAGGCCCTTCGCTTAGGGACAGGAATCAGAAGTGAATCAAACTCAATTAGTTTATCCGATATGGCCCCACCCCACCTCCACCTACTTCCTCTGATAGCCCACGCTGTGATCCTGGATTCTCAGGGCCACAGGTTCACCAACAGCTGATGAAAATGAGACTATGGTCAGAGTAGTCATGGCCGGCTGGTCCATTGCCATGAGAGGGCTCAAGAGGGCCAAACCCACCCCAGCGCTAGCTCCCTGAACTACTTCCATGAGCCAGCATGGTGTGTGTGAACCACACACCTCCAGCCCCTGGCTGGAACTCAGTCTCTAAAGATGCCTTGCTCAGGGTTACATAACTCATACGCTCCAGAGCTAGTCTCTCGTTCCAAAGGCTCTGTTTCTCTGCATTCAGTAGGCTCTGTTTTTGCAGGGAGCCCTCTAGACCTATGGATCCAATGGTTGCTCACAGCTCCAAGAGTCTGGGCGTGGAGATACTGACAGCTCTGAGAAATGGCTGCTTGGGCCCTAGACGACCCAGAGCTGGAACTGGCCACCATTGGCTTGACTCTCTACCTCAGAGCTGGGCTGAGTTATCACTGTCTCCATTATTACGTAACAGATCAGAACGCTGCAGAGCCAGCCCAGCTCCTCAGGGTGGCTTGGGCCTGTGCTGGTGACCCAACAAAGGCATGGTGGCTTTTGCACAGAGTGAGATTTATAGAGGGATTGGTTGGTTTTTGTTTGTTTTTTGAGAGAGAAGGATGGTATTTTTATTCTAGATGCTTATTAAAACTGCCCTAAACTTTCCGATGCTATCAATTGGATGAAGTTGCTCAATAGAATTTTATTCATTTGAACAAGAAAAACAATACTCATAGATCCATACATGGATGAGTACATACATACTTTATATAATTGCTAGATGTAGGCTGACCCCGTGTGTCATCATTGAACAATCAAGTGCTCTAAGAACTAACTTACTGAAGAGATGGCTCAGGGGTACAGGTGCAGGCCCCCAAGTCTGAAGACCCAAGTTTAATCCCTGTGTCCATGTGGTAGAAGGGAGAACTGACTGTCTTGTCCTCTGACCTCCAATCATGCACCACGGCGTGGCGTGTGTGTGTGTGTGTGTGTGTGTGTGTGTGTGTGTGTGTGCTGTTTACACAAATAAATACAACGAGAAATGACAGACCTACTTAAATACTCGGCAGTCATCTACTATATACATGGTGTATAGCACGGGAGCTTGTGCTTTGCTTTAAAAGATGAGGTAAGAAAAGGCTTCAGGTCGCTCCACGTACACTCTTCTCTGCAAACGCACACAAGGTGAGACTCCTCCTGCCGAGACCCAGGAGTCTGTGTTGGATGAAATCAGCACCCATCGTTGCCCTTCTGCATGTGGAATTTTGGACAAATGCCCATGTTCCTGTCTAAAAATTGAACAAAGTAGCCAGTGTTCTCGGACATCATCGAGGAACAGATTTGCAGACTCGGTATTTACTTCTTGTTGCTCTTTAACTTTTATTACAAGTGGGTGTTCTTTGGGAGGCCTCTCTGGAATATTATTGAGAAGTCAGATAGCACGTCAGACTCTAAGGCACAGCCACCTGGCAGAGCACACTGTAATCCTAGTGGTGGTGAGGCTGAGCCATGAGGATCCAGGTTGGAATGGCACCAACAGAAAAGACTCCGGTCACTGCTCGAAGGGAAGGAAATGAAATATTTGTGGCACTTCAGTGAAAGTAGTAATTTCATTCATCACCTCAGGGTCTCTTACCAGAAAAGGCCAGACAGGGGCACCCATCCAGTCTGAGGAGAGGATGGCCTCGTGCCTCGTGTTTGCTGGCTTGTGCTGTCTTCGTCTCTGATGCATGAATGTACCCCGTACTTCTCCAGAGTGTCTGCATTTCCTGGGAGCCACCATTTGGCCTCCAGGCTCCCTCCTTTGTTCAACACCTCGCTGGGCTGCGACTGTGAGAGATTCCTGGATGGGGGAAGCGTGAAAACAGTGCGCCTCCCTGAACGAAGGATCACTGTTGATGCTAGAACTTAGATTGTGTCCACGGGATGAGTAGTAACAAACGGGGCAGTGGTGGCGCATGCCTTTAATCCCCGCACTCGGGAGGCAGAGGCAGGCAGATCCCTGTGAGTTCAAGGCCAGTCTGGTCTACAGAGCGAGTTCCAGGACAGGCTCTAAAGCTACAGAGAAACCCTATCTCAAGAAACCAAAAAAAAAAAAAAAAAAACCAAATAAATAATAAAATAAAATAAAAACAACAAAAACTTCTTAGCAAAATTAATGGACACCCAAGCAAGGTTCCCAGCACCTACACCATCCCTGAAGTGTTTATCAACGAAATGAATGGAATTAGACGAGTTTATGCTTACTTGTCTCACAGTGGAGGACTGAGCTGCAAACACCCGTGTCTAGTCCTGTTCATGTTGCCAGAATTTATCCAACCAACTATCTGCTTCCTCGTTCACACCCAGAAAGTACTGATCCCAAAGCCCAGTCTTCTCAGGAGCCCTGCAGTAGAGACACTTTATACTGCAGGTGATCAAGCCATCATGGTGTCCCCCCCAACAGAGGCACAGAATCAGAATCCTAACATGGCCTGAGGATGAGGAGCCGGCCCAAAGAGGAAAGCCAAATGCCCATGGTTGTGGTCACTGCAAGAAGAAACAAGGTTCGGGACCAAAGCCCCTGGGTATCCAGCCGGCACCCTGCACTGTCCCAGGCCACTGACTTAGGTCATCACCGAAAGGCCTGTCGGGATGTCATCATGTCCAAGTAGGTTCTTCACAAAGGTCATCCTGGGGCTTCCAGCCACAGGCCTGTGGGCAGCATGTACTCATATGCCATTATATCACCTCACCACCCATCCTTCAATGGCCTACAGAGATTGCTGCAATTGTCTTTCTTGCTTTGAGGCTCAGTATTATTGCTCCAAAGGCAGCAAACTCCTCCCCCCCACCCCGCTCCTTCTACCCCTAGACCAGCCTTCAGATTACTAGGTAAATACCTGCTATTCCTGATGGTATGGTTACCCAGTCACCATGGGGAAAACACACACACACACACACACACACACACACGCATGCGCGCGCGCGAGAGAGGTTTGACAAAGTAAAGAAGAGGATTATGGTTGAGTAAGACCGAGGCTCACAGAAGGTGTCCATTAAAGGCCTTAAGGGTCTGTAATAGGGCTTAGGACATGAGAGAAAGGGGGAAAGAGGGAGAAGGAAAAAAAGGGAAAAGCAAGAAATGACCAGAATAAACACAGCTAATATTTAACACTTAAGTGCTGGGTACTGTCCAGAATGCCTTTTCATGATCACCAGGTCAACTCTGAGATGAGTGTTATTATTACCCTGATTTCAGATGAGGAGACAAAGACAGTGAGTCTAGGACTCAGACCCAAGCCAGGCAGCTTCCACGCGAAACACTTGGCTGTTCTGTGGAATGTGGAGAGAGCCCACGGCTCTCACCAGGGTTTGACCAGCTTGGGCAGGACACTGCGTAGATGAACACTGGTGTCTCTCTCCGCTTGCTGGGTGTTTGAAGGGTCCTCCTTCTCTCAGCCCCAGTTCCTAAACTCGAGTTAATAACATCATTAGAAGGGTGTAGCTGTGTGAATGGGAGGGGAAGTGTAGTTGCTTTTCTTATGCTTTGGGGGGCTTACCACCCAGCTTCCAAATCAATACACAGAAAATACAGAGATGTATTCTTCTTATGAATGCATGGCCTTAGCTTGGCTTGTTTCTAGCCAGTATTTCTGATTTAAGTTATCCTGATTACCTTTTGCCTCTGTTTTTTTTGTTTGTTTGTTTGTTTGTTTTTGTGGCTCTATATATCTTTCTTTCCTTCTTACTCTATGGCTGGCTGTGTGCTTGTGTAGCTGGTCTCTGGAGTCCTCTCTCCTTCCTTTCTCATTCCCCAAGCTTCTTTTCCCTGATTTCTCCTCCTATTTATTCTCTCTGCCTGGCAGCCCTGCCTCTATCCCCCTCTATTCCCCTCTACCGTATCTATTGGCCGTTCAGCTCTTTATTAGATCAATGAGGTGTTTTAGGCAGGCACAATAACACAGCTTTACAGAGTTAAACAAATGCGACATAAAAGAATACAACACAGCTTTGCATCATTAAACAAATGTTCCTCAGCATGAAAGAATGTAACACATGCTGGGCCGTGGTGGCGCACACCTTTAATCCCAGCACTCAGGAGGCAGAGGCAGGTGGACCTCTGTGAGTTCGAGGCCAGCCTGGTCTACAGAGGGAGTTCCAGGACAGGCTCCACAGCTACACAGAAAAACCCTGTCTCTCAGGGAACCCTGACTGCTCTTCGGGCTGATGAGGAAGGGGGAGTTGTTTGGGGGAGGGGGAGGGAAATGGGAGGCGGTGGCGGGGAGGAGGCAGAAATCTTTAATAAATAAATAAATAATAATAAAAAGTTTTAAATAACTAAACACAATGTATTCCTTAAAGGAGGAGAGCATACCACAAGGTTACAGCAGTTTTAGGCATAAAATGTGGGGGGAATAAAATGTACTTCTGGAACAGGGATACATCTCAGTGTTTTGTTCAGCTTGTGAGGTGCTGTCTGCTCAATCCTCAGCACCACAAATAACAAACCAGATTTCCTTGTGCATGACGCTATCAACACACACATTATCCTTAAAAGTGTGTTGCAGGCCCGTAGATCTTCTGTACCAAGTAGTCTACAAACCTGTTCAATAACCTAAACACTTTCATCTCTGTTTATGCCCCTATAACTGCTCCCTTGCTTGTACTCCCTTGTTTGCCATTATGCCTTAAGGGAAAATTGTCTCTGAGTATCAAGAGTTAATATGCATGAAGAACATAAGAACAGTTGACCCATATGAACACTCAATAAATATTCAGAACTACTTGTAAAGGAGAGTCTGCCCTTATCTCCATTAAAAAGTTGAAAAGAAAATAAAAAAGAAAAAGAAAAACCCTGTCTCAAAGAACCAAAAAACCCCAAACAAAAAAAGAACGTAACACAGCTTCAGCTAACATCCCACAACGAGGGAGGGGGGAGTGGAAACGGTGCAGAAGAAAGGTCGCTTAGGGCCGGGGACGGGGAGGCTGGGAGAGGTCTGGGTGGTTACTCCAGCGGGCTCTTATTGTAACAGGAGTTAGTCTGAACTTTCACCCGACCTCTTTCTTACCCATAAGCTCAGTGACGTGAGAAAAACCACACCTAGGGTTAAAGAAAGCCGTCTCTTCATATTGCACAGCAGCCCCAGGCTCGTCTTCCTCAGAGTCCAGATTCAATGGAAGCTGTAACAGAAGTTCTGTCAGCACTCAGTGCATCCAGCCCTTTCTGATAAAATCCTGTCTACGAGTCGGGCCGTACTTCAACTCCAGTGAGTCTTTGTAAATACAAAAGCGACTGAGCTACACTGTAGTGTCTATGTGCTCGTTTGTTCGACCTTTCTTATTGCTGCCAGAACTTTAGTGGCTTAAGAGAAGATGATTTAGGGCTCGAAATGTAGCTTAGTTGGTACCTTGCTGAGCATGCAGGAGTCTGGAACTCAGTCCCCAGCACTGCATACACCAGGCATGGCGGTGCGTGTTCAAAATCCCAGCACCGGAGGTGGAGGTGGGAGAATCCAAAGAACAAAAGTCATCCTCAGCTAGAGTTTGCTCAACATCAGCTTGGCAAGAAAGAAACGGGGGGAGGGGAGAGGGGAAGAGACGCAGGAAGGAAAGAAAGAAGGAAAGGAAGGAGGGAGGGAGGGAGGGAGGGAGGGAGGGAGGGAGGAAGGAAGGAAGGAAGGAAGGAAGGAAGGAAGGAAGGAAGGAAAATTTAACCATTTTCCCACTCCAGAGCCACAAGTTCAAAGGTCTGATCTTGAAGGTGCAAGCTGAACCGTATCCCTTCTGGTGAGGAAACAGAAGGAGAGCGAGCCTGCCACAGTGTCCAGTGAGGAAACGGAAGGAGAGCGAGCCTGCCACAGTGTCCAGTGGTTCTGTCCTTTGCCTTTTCCACCTGCTGAAGCCTTTTGTTTCTTGTTTGTGTTTCTTTGGCTCATGCCCCCTTCCTTCTTTTTCAAGGTGGCCATAAACACCTTCTCACTTAAGCTCCTGCCGTGGCCTCTCAGCCATCCATCACTAGCTGTGACTGGCTCTCTGCCTCTTCTTTCAGGAGCCTTATGATGACGTTGGGTCCATATCAGCTCTACCCCGATCTTTGCTCTCCCGATTGGCCCCATGCTGACAGCTGCAGAGGATCTGGACAGAGCCCACAGGGCCTAGGGATGCAGACAAGCACTGCTTTAGGGAACCACGGTGGGCCTTATTTTCTAGCTCATTGACTGCTGATAGGGTATAGATTCAAGATTAGTAAGTATTGTCTCATCACATCACCCCAGAGAAACCTAAAGCCCAACACAAGAGCCCAGAACAGGTATCTCCAAGTTACCTTTGTTCCACGCTATGAAAAATTCTAGTATATTTAGCCTAATATTGTCCTTGGCATTTCTGCCATTAGAAAAGAAATTTTGGCCAGTTGGCCCGTCATATGTTTTAAGACTATTCAATTCTGTATCTTGAAAGATGCTGAGGTTTGAACTCCTTTTACATTGCTGGAACCCCACTTTTACTCTCTACTTGAGGGGAGCTAGCCAGGGTCTCCACAACGCAGACAGCCGCACCTGCTTTTTCTCTCAGATCCTTTTTTTTTTTTTTTTTTTTTTTTTTGAACAGCATTTGGCTACATGAACCTGTGGCTACCCTTTATCAGGATTATAAACCCAGAAATCCAGTTGAGACCTTCAGTTTGACTCTCCAGATATGTGAGCACTGTTTCTTGGTGAATTGAAGTTTGTGCAAGGAGAGATCAGAAGAGATACGGTGGGCCAGACCTCTCTATCTTCCCAGGTACAATGTCACCTCCTTAGGGGATGTCAGCAGAGGAAGTGTCCTGTCAGTGGGCAGGAGGGAGGGAACCCCAGAAGTTTAGACTACTAACTCAACACCCAGGATGGATAACGGGAGCACAAACGATCTGCTTACTCATTTGTCAAAAGGTGTTCTGTGTCTCCCTGCCTGCATGCACCCGCTACCTCTGCTCCTCACCCAAGCACCCTGGGTTCAACATCACCCCCAGGCTACATAAGCCACAGTGTCCCTCGTTCCAGCTGAAGCACCATGTGGAACAGTACTCGGCCACTCGTTGAGTGAAAACGCTGCCAGTTTTAATCCATGATGCTGGATTAAAACCAAGATTCTTAATCCAAAAAAAAAAAAAGTTATTCCTTTCTCCCACATAAATCAAAATAAAAAAAAAAACTGACACTAAGCCACAACTTTATAAAGTGTAATTCAGAGCAGAAGGTTCTGGTTTAAATCCAGTGGTTACTTGGACTTTTAAAATAAATATCAAGTGATTTAAAAACGTTTTCCCCCGTTTTTTGGGGGGTGGGGAGTGGCCATGCTTTCTTGGTGTGTCTCAGTTGACTTTGCTGTCAACCTCGTTGGACAGAACCACAAAGAACTCTTCATTTTGAACTTTTAGGTAGGGGATGGGAAGAAAGCTGCCTCCCGTCCAGCCTCTGGCTAGGTCTGGCTCCATCAGTGGGTGAGGGTTTTTGTTTTCTTTTGATTGTTTTTTAACGTTTTCAGAGAAGCACAAAGAGTAGATTATGGCCGGTCTGCAAGAACTGGAATATACTTGACAAGTACCAAGAGCTCAGTGCATCTGTTAACTATTAAAGAATCTTTCCTAGCCTGCCCGCCATCCTGAAAGCGTCATTCAAACACCTGTCAATACCTACAGCAGCCCTAGTCCTTGGAAATATCCCAAGGAAATAAAGATAAGGTAAACAGGCCTGACCTCAGCTTGCAGTCTAGAAACAGGTTCTTAAGCAAATGCCTGTGTCATAAACGGCGGACTGAAGGCAGGTATGACGGTAGCAGAAACAGGTACTGATCCTGGAGGTACGGAAACACCTGCTGTTAAAATTGCTTTCTTCCATGTGCTCACCTATTTCAAAAATGACACTCGTGTTCAGCTGTGTGTCGCATGCCCACAGGGTTGGCTGGGGGAAGCTGGGGGAAGGTGTTTTGGAATATCCTGGCTGCCTCAGACGGCAATTTCTCCCCGACAGGACTAGATGGGAGGTTGGCCAGCAGCGATTCTAAGACAGCGCCGACTGAGCTATACGTTCCAAGGTCAGCCAGTTACTAGGGTGTTAGTGTGTGAGCAGAGTGGAGCCACCTGAGGCACAGGTGGGCGTGGGTGAAACTGGCTTCACCCGGCTTCCTTTCCGCATCAAGCGCAGTCCTCTTTTGACTTTATCCATTCAAAAATTAGGTTTGGGAGGCTGGAGGGACGCCTTAGTGGCTGAAAGCATCACCCGCACTTCTGAACAACCTGAGTTTGCTTCCTACTCCAGCTGTATGGGCTTTGACCCCCTCTTCTGGCCTCCACAGACCACGTGTGGCATACACCATTTTCTTAAAATTAAAAATAGGGGGTCTTAAGAGACGGCTCAGCAGTTAAGCACACTTGCTACTCTTTCAGAGAGCCCAGGTTCAAATCCCAGAACCCACACATCTGACCACCTGTAATCCCAGTTCCAGAGGATCCAATGACCTTTTGACCCAAGGGCACCAGGCACACATGGTACACAAACATGCAAACTAACTCAACACACATAAAATACTAATCTTAAGAACAAACTCGCCGGTATGACATCACCCGTCACCATCTCTCTCTCAACTCCGCTCAGTATCCTAATCTGTCATCTTCTGCCTTCAACCCTGTTCCACCTTAAACCATCTTCTCTGATCATATCCACCTTTTTTGGAACACCTTCTGTACTTAGCCGTCCCCTCGTGCCTCGACTTGTAAACCATTGTCTCCCAGATGCAAGTTCTTGAAGCTTTCCCTCCAATCATCTGTACTGCCCTGAAGTGAACTCACCGAGGTGCCTTTTAGTTTTAGGTGTCGTATAAAGTATTCTCATTTGTAACTTTAAAACTAAAGACTGTAAATTACCCTGAGCAGCAGGCTAACTGTGAAGTGATATCCTACAAGCTTGTGCTTAAAACCATTTTCACAGCCTTACCGGCCCAGCAGTGAGTGATGAGCCCTTTCTGTTCCTATGACAAGCTTTGATCATTTGTCTTCCACACTACTGTCCCAACTGTGTGCTGGTAAAATCTGTGCTAGAGCCCATTTCTCCTTTACCCACCACAGCATAAAACAAAGTAGATATTAAAATTCGTTTATTTTTTCTACTTAACTTTTAATAAATGAGAAGAAACACAGTAGTCTTGTCTCATATAGAACATTTATAATACAGAACAATCCATAAAGCCTCGTGGTGAGGTAGGAACAGCTTTGGAAATAACACAGTCATAACACACAGAAATTAGGGAAAATGTCCTGCACTTGTTCTGTCTGTACTGGCGCTCAACACGCTGAGAGCCACATCAACCGCACTGTTGGCCCAGAGGACAGGTGGCAGCAGACACACCCACATGAGAACACCAGAGAATCAGACACACTGACACTCCACTGTGCTGTTTCAAGGCAGACCCCATCACGGCAATCCATGACTTTTTATATAACCACATATTAATTCTATGTCACATTCGCCTCAGCATCTTTTTGCCAGACGCTGAACCTTAATATTTTTGGTTTAAAAGTTTAAATTGATTAATATACTAAAGGCTCTTGTGTCAGTGAAAATGACTGCTAAATATTCCAGAGCTTGTTAGTAAGACAAAATAGCATGACCATATACACATACACACATGTATATATGCAGTGCTGTATCAAAATAGTGAGATTACAGTCGCATTTCCCAGTCCGTGAAGCATAGGACAGTTCCCATCCCAGAGACAACAAAAGCCTTCCACCTCCCCAAGACCTCTTAACACTGTTTTATTTCTTAACTGAAACGCAGTATTAAAATATTTTCTATTGTAGAATCACACTCCATATCTGTGTATGACTACCTTAAGACAGCAGCTTAATGACATTTATTGTTCAAATGGTATCTGCTTGTAAAACAGCAAAAACATTCAAAACCAGTTTACATGCCAAATACTCCACATTAGGTTGCGTCCTTTCCCTCAGAACTTTCCTGAACTCAAAACAGAATGCTGACAACACACACACACAGAGCTTCCTGTGACTTTCCAAATTACACATCTTAGGTTAAAGCCATTCGGCATCTTGCTTCTTTTGAATGTGAAAACACAGTAAAATATCTGAGGGCTGTTTTTCATGTTCTAGCGTGTACTTCTACAACGTAGATACCACCCAGAAAAGAATTACTCCTACAAGTTAAAAGCTGACCGTGGAAAATGAAATCCGTTCTTCCAAGGCACACGTGGCTTGGAAGGATTCCTGGTTGAGTGCAATTGGGGAGCATGCAGCACCTTCTCACTCAGCTCCAGATGACAGACAGGTCCACCCTGGCCTTGCCCAAACACAGGACCAGGAGAGCAGCGAAAGGAAGCTATTTGGAAAAGACACTCAAGTCCCATAACACTTAAATATAAAAACATGTCTTTTTTTTCTTAAAGATAATGCTAATATAGCTAAAAATGGGTTAGAAAGTGCACTGTAAAGAAATAAAT